AACCCTAAACCCTCATAAACCCTAAACCCTCATAAACCCTAAACCCTCATAAACCCTAAACCCTGATTGCGTTCAGTGGATATGGAGTTTTTTAAAGATGTAAAAATTCCGGCGTCGAATCTGCGAGAGCCGAAGGCGTGTGAAGAAACAGCAGCAGCAGCAGCAGCAGCAGCAGGAGGAACAGCAGCAGCAGCAGCAGCAGGAACAGGAACAGCAGCAGCAGCAGCAGCAGAAGGAAAAACAAATGCTGCTGCTATTTGGTCTTGGTGCTTTGAAGGTCATCGCCTTACCTACGATTTGGGGGCCCCCATCCGCTTCAAAGTGGCTGACGTTGTCTTCGTTAGAGAAGAAGGTAAACCCTAAACCCTAAACCCTAAACCCTAATTTCAAACGCTAAACCCTTAGGACATCCACCCTAAACTTCTAAACCCTATACGCTGATTCTTAAACCCTAAAACTGAAGGCATATTATACCCTAAACCCTACAACCTGAATAACTTAAACCCTAAACCCTACCCCCAAACCCTAAACCCTAATTTCAAACCCTAAACCCTAATCTAAACCCCTCAAGTTTTCTTCGGAAACCCTAGGGTTTGCATTTGATGGATTTGCTCCGCATGCAAACCCTAGGCCTTCCATGTGGAAGCTATAAACCCCCTTCATCCTAAACCCTAAACCCTAAACCCTAATTATTTGAACCCCTAAGCGCTGCGCTTTTGTCTTCAAGCGCTGCAGCCCTGCAGCTGCCTTCAAACCCTAAACCCTAAATCGTGATGGCTGTAGCTCACAGAAGAAAAGCATGTAATCTAGGGTTTAGGGTTTAGGGTTTGCGTTTGGCTGCAGCACAGAAGAAATATGCTCTCGTTACGAGCGAGGAGACGTACATCCCGCCGATGGTTGTGATAGTAAGCCCCAAACCCTAAGCCCTAAACCCTAAACCCTAGCTCAGTTAAACCCTAAACCCTAAACCCTTGCTGCTGCTGCTGCTGTCTCTGCTGTACGTCAGGGCGAGGCCAACGCAGATGGGTTGGGGATGCTGTCTTGGTGGCAGTAAACCCTAAACCCTAAACCCTAAACCCTAAACCCTAACCTCCAACTTCAAACCCTAGCTTTGTAATGTGCCCAGCTCTATGCGCCGCTGCGGAGCTCCCTTTGACTACCAGTTAGGGTTTAGGGTTTAGGGTTTGGCGCTTGAATGCTTATTCTCTTAACCGCTGCAAAACCTTTTATTATTGCTTATAACACCATTAAGTTCAGGAAGGCAATTCATCAGGGTTTAGGGTTCAGGGTTTAGGGTCTGCATCAGGCTCAGCCTTGTTAGCAACGGCGGCAGTAGCCGATGGCTGTAGTATGTGCTGCTGCTGCTGCTTCTCCTGCTGCTGCTCCTGCTGCTCCTGCTCCTGCTCCTGCTGCTGCTCTTGCAGCAGCAGCGTTTTCTTTAACATCGCGAAGCGCTGCTGCTGCCGCAGCAGCTGCTGCCGGTGCAGCAGCTGCTGCAGCGAGAGCGGCTGCAGCAGGTGACCTCCAGCAGCAGCAGCAGCAACATCTTGTAGCGTATGCAGCAGCGCATGCACCTTCCCTGCTGCAGCAAGAGCCTCGTGCATCTGCAGCAGCAGCAGGAACAAAGACAGAGGCAGCAGCAGAGGCAGCAGTAACTATCAAAGCACATCTTCATCTGGCGGCTTCTGCTGCTGCTGTTATATACTGCTGCTGCAGATTGCTGCTGTTGATTGACATTGCTGCTGTTGCTGCTAGATGCTGCTGCTGCTTCTGCTAGGTACTGGTGCTGCTTCTGCTAGATAGTGCTGCTGCTGCAGCTAGATACCGCTGCTGCTGCAGTTAATTACAGCTGCTGCTGCTGTTGCTGCGAGCTTGGCTCTCAGAAATACCTGTACAAGCTGCTGCTGCAGCTGCAGCAGCAAAGGACGATGGGGAGACCCTGCGGAGGCAACTCCTTTCCACTCGCTGGCTATCTCCTCCAGCAACTGCAGCAGCAGCAGCAGCAGCAGCAGCAGCAGCAGCAGCGGCAGTAGGAGCAACAGCGGCAGTAGCAACAACAGCAGCAGAGGACGCCTCCCCGATGAACGAGCATAACCCAATGGCTGTGCAGCTACAGCGGCAGCAGCAGCAGCAGCCGAACAAGCAGCAGCAGCAGCAGCCGAACAAGCAGCATCAGCAGCAGCCGAACAAGCAGCAGCAGCAGCAGTCGAGTAAGCAGCAGCAGCAGCAGCAGCAGCAGCAGCTGACCTGTGCAATATCTCCTTCTCCCTCTGTCTCTTTCCACTTGCTGTGGAGTCGCGACAACAAAAACAAACTAAAGAGATCAACGTCAGGAAGCCGCAGGAACTGCTGCTGCTGCTGCTGCTGTTGCTGCTGCTGCTGCTGCTGCTGGAGGTCGTCTGCAGCGTAGGCCTCAACAGCAGAAGAGACGAAGTCTGCCCACAATGCAGCAAAAGCCTAAGCACAGCAGCAGCAGCAAGACCAACAGCAGCAGCAGCAA